CAAAAAGGTTCACAAATTTGCTTAAAGATGGTGCTAAACTCAAATATGGAGAGATCTAACAATAGAAAAGTCAAGGAAGCAACTTTATACCTTTAAGGGGCTGGAAATGTAGCTTGAACCTCGGATCTACTGCTTCCTTGAACCTTCTAGCTCCTTCTTCTTCTTCTTCTTCTAGCTTTGAAATCAAACAAACACTCTCACAATTGGCTCACACACTCAACAAAGCTCAAGGGACACAAGTTAGGGCGTTTTGGACTAAGGGAGACGATGGGGGCTGCATGGGAGGCGAGTTAGTGCGTTTAAATAGGGTGCAAACCCTAAAATTTAGGGTTTCACCCAGACAGGTCAACTCGTCGAGTCGGGGCTTTCGACTCGGCGAGTAGGCTCTTCCATCCGCGACCCAAAACTCACATCTACTCGACGAGTTGGGCCTCCAACTCGTCGAGTCCCAGAGTAAAAATGCAAAAACTTTAAACTAAAATACATACCGGGAACTGGGCATTACACTAGTCTTGTTAATATAAATCATATGTGATTAGATACATATAATCACATGTGATTATATATACAAGAATATCCATCAAATAAAAAATACCAAAACAAATCTTTGTTCACATTAAGCATATGTTATTAAATACATATAATCAGATATGATTAAATACATGGGAAAAGTTATTAAATGGAAAACATGAAAAAGAATCTTGTTTTTATAAGTCATATGTGATTAGATACATATAATCACACGTGATTATACGTATTTAATCACATATGGTTTATATGATTAAATACATATAAAAAAATACATATAATCACACATGATTTATGTCATTAGATGTACTTAATCACATACAATGTTAGTTATTGTAGGTGGTGGGTGGTGTTCGTGTGGTGGCGATGGGTGGTGAAGGTGGGTCGTGGGTGATAAGGGTCGTGGATGATAGTTGGTTTGTGGTTGTTATGGGTGGTGGTGGACAGTAGTTGTAGGTGGTGGGGGTGGTGGTGGTGGGTGGTGGTAGTGGTGGTGGTGGTAAGTGGTGGGTTGTAGGTGGAGGTGATGGGTGGTAGGTAGTGGTGGTGGGTGGTGAAT